TCACAAGGATACTAAGAAAATTGCTTGGGTTAGCTAGGAAACAATGTGTAAAAGTAGAAAAGAAGGAGGCCTTGGTGTTAAAGATCTAGGTATGTTTCATTTGGCATTGCTAGGGAAATGGCGATGGTGATTGCTAAAAGAGAGAAAGGCCTTATGGAATAGGGTAGTGGAAGCTAAGTATGGAGTGCATAGGAAACGGGCTTACAAGGGAAGAGATGTGAAAGCATATAGTTTAGATTGGTGGAAGGAGCTATGGAAAATTGATAAGGCCATATCTTATAAGGAGGACTGGCTTTAAAAGGGATTAGAAAAGGTTATTGGGGAAGGGAATGAGATATTATTTTGGCAAGAAGAGTGGTGTGGAGAGACACCATTTAGAGAGAAGTTTAATAGATTGTATAGATTGATGGAGTGTAAAGAAGCTACAATAAAAGATTTGGGGGAATGGAGGGGCAGAGAGTGGGTATGGATGTGGAAATGGAGTAGGGATTTATTAGGCTATGATCTAATTGCTTTGCAGGAACTCACAGAACTATTGAAAAGCAAAAACCTAAAGCAAGGAAAGTATGACCAATGGAGATTGAGACATCATCCGATAGGCAGCTACACCACAAGGTCAGCTTATAATGCAATATCAAATGGCATAAGGGAGTAGAATTAGTTGCAATCTAATCTGCTATGGAACAAATATGTGCTATTGAAAGTTGTTGCTTTTGTTTAGAAAGCTCTACAAGATAAAGTTCTCACAGGAGATAATTTGCTTAAAAAAGGAATTGCTGGAGTTAAAGCCGATTTCTCATGCATACTTTGTGGACACAATTAGGAATCTGTTAACCACGTTTTCTTTGCATACAAGACAAGCTGAAAGGTTTGGCAATCCTATTGTGCATGGTGGGGCGTCCATGCTGTTTTAATAAACGAAGGTTATGACCATCTACAACAACATCTAGGCATGGTCTCAAAGGGAAAGGCTAAGACAATGTGGTATGTGATTTGGTTTACAGTGATTTGGTCTATATGGCTATGGAGAAACCAATTGATTTTTAAAAAAGGGTATGATTCTGTTGATAATATTATGAATTTAATAAAGCTAAGGTCTTTTAATTGATTGAGGGTCAAATTAGATA